AGTCTTCATTTACATGTGGAAGGGCCTTTCAGCCATTTGACTCTGCAGTCACTTTCTAAACTGGGGGACAAATTCTGCTATTGACACCCAGGCATTGCCTTTACTTTTGTAGGATTGTACCGAGAGCAGAGTTTAGCTCTGTAGCAATCCATTTACCCACTGCGGTAATACAGATATCTCTTGGGAAGAATGCAACAACTGTCTTATAATGCATAGCCACACTTAAGCAGTTTTTGAAGAAGTTAAAAACACCCCCTCTGATTGGTGAATTTGGACAGTGTACCTAAAAACTGGCCTGTGCTGTGATTCCAGTCCAGTTTTAAAACTGCTTTCACTCAACTGGTTTTAAATCCAGTTAGGATTTTGGGAGGACATTTCTCCACTTTGGATAGGCCCTTGAAGAGAGATTTTTGGAGATAAGTATTCATTCTCCATGAAACACCTGTGTATAGAGCACACACCTCAGTTCTGCAGTAAGGCTGTGTGCATCTCAAGAGACTGTTTCCTAAGGTTTTGCTGACTGAGCATAATTGCTGCCCCTCAGATGTTCAGTCAGTCACTGTAGGGCTAGCCAATGGCTACTAGCCACCTGGAGTAAATAGCAGTCAGACCTTATCTGGACTTTGTTACTAAGGGTACAGTCACTATTTCAGATCTGAGAGAATGCTTCAGAACATTATAAAACATTCCTTTTATAGGGAGGTGCTTGTCTCTCGGCCCAGCTTTAGCTGAGCTGCAGCCCAGGAGACAGGCCAGGTCTACACTAGGCCTGGAAGGGCAGGTTAAGGTGCACAACTCCAGCTACATAAAGTCTAGTTGGAGTAGGGATGTAAGCGACTAGTCAACTCAACTGGTTGCTTCCCCACACCCTTGCACTGTGAATTGCTCTGTGCATTAGTCTGGGAGCTGACCTTATAGAGGCAAAGAAAGCATTGAGTACTACAGCTTTTCCCACATCATCTGTCACTAGGTTACCTCCCTCATCCAGTAAGGGCCCCACACCCTCTCTGATTATCCTCTTATTGCTGACATGCCTGAAGAAGCCTTTCTTGTTACCCTTCACATCCCTTGCTAGCTGCAATTCCAATTGTACTTTCACCTTCCTGATAACTCCCCTGCATTCTTGAGCAATATATTTATAGTCCTCCCTAGTCATCTGTCCAAGTTTCCACTTCTTGTAAGCTTCCTTTTTGTGTTTAAACTCACCAAGGATTTCCCCAGTAATACAATCTGGTCGTCTACTATATTTGCTTTTCTTACTGCGCATCGGGATGGTTTCTTCCTGTGGCATCAATAAGGCGTCTTTAAAATACTGCCAGCTCTCCTGGACTCCTTTCCCCTTCATGTAATCATCCCAGGAAATCCTGCCTATCAGTTCTCTGAGGGAGTCAAAGTCTGCTTTTCTGAAGTCCAGAGTGTATATTTTGCTACTCTCCTTTCTTCTTTTGGTCAGAATCCTGAAATCTACCATCTGAGGTAGATGGGTCTGCCTTATTTCAAACCTGAAAAAGAAGGGTTCTTTAAAGGGCAAATCTCACTAGCTGGAGACCAACAAACACAGGCAGTGACAGCTCTGCTTTGCTGTTGACCTGGGTTGCCATTCAAATGTTTTAAATAGGAATCTTTCCTTTACTGTATATTTGAGAGTTTGTCTTGCTGCCTGTTTGTTCAAGAACACCTTCTAAACAATAAGAGCTAGGATCCCCAGATTTGGTATACAGCTTCTGCTTATCATAACTTAAAGCAGTGGTCTCCAACCTTTTTACACCCAAGATCACTTTTTAAGTCTCAGAACAGGCAAAGATCTACTGCCCCACCACGCCCCTTCTTTGAAGCCCCGCCCTCTCTATTCTCCTGTCCATCACTTGCTATCCCCAGCCCTTATCCACTCTGTTAAACAGTTTATTTTTAAATTATGCAATATATAAAATTAAAATCACATGTTTATAGTTATGAAATAAATGCTCTGTTTTTAATTCATGCTATTTAAATGTCAAATGAAGCATTTACAATTATACATTTTGTTCTCTGCCATTTTGTAAATCTAAAATCAAGTATTGATAATTATATATTTTTCTTCCAATAACCAAGTCTCAGTGTGACACCTGTGACTGAACAATATCTGCCTGTGTCTTGAAGTCTGGGTTGTAGTCTGAGATTGCTAGTTGTATACAGTCCATCAGATGGGCATCTGTGGTCCTGTGCTCGCCTTCAGGGGGCGAGGGGAAAGTGCTGTTTGCTGCTTTCCTCACTCTGGCTGGAGAGCATAAGGGGCAGATGAGTCGTGCACTTTGCTCTTGCTTCATGACAGGGACAGGAAGAGCAAGCAACTTTGATGTGAATCTTGAGGAGGGGGGAGGAGGGAGGAGCAAGTGGCCTCCTTGTCCAGACACACATACGTATATTCTCTCTCTCTGTTCCCCCATTTCCCCCACGCACCCACCCAGAGCCCCTCCTCACCCTTCAACCCTGATTCCTGCATCCCTGAGCTTCTCCTTAAGGACCTGAGCAATACCAGGTAAATGTGCTAGTTGAAAATAACTGACTTGTATAAGAGTATCTGGTCATCAGCAGCGTGTGATTCTCAAAACCCACACCTTGGCCTCTTGAGCTAAAAGATTAAGCCCTTTAGTTGGAAGTAGTAACAAGCTGATACAAAAAACAGGACTATGTAGCACTTTAAAGACTAGCAAGATGGTTTATTAGGTGATGAGCTTTCCTGGGCCAGACCCACTTCCTCAGATCAAATTGTGGAAGAAAATAGGCGTGACCACATATACCAAAGGGATACGATCAAAAAAAAGTGAACACATATAAAAAGGACAAATCAGATTTCAGAACAGAGGGGAAATGGGGGGAGGTAAATGGCTGTAAGCTAATGATATTAGAGGTGATAATTGGGGAAGCTATCTTTGTAATGGGTAAGCTAATTAGCGTCTTTGTTAAGACCCCAGCGTTAAGACATATGTTAAGACACAGAGATTTTAACAACCTACACCCCACCATCAGTCTCAGCCTGGACCATTCTACACGAGAGATTCATTTCCTGTATACCACAGTACAAATCACCAATGGTAAATTAGACACCACTCTCTACCAAAAAAACCACTGACTCATACAGTTACCTTCATGCCTCCAGCTCCCATCCAGAACACACCATACGATCCATCGTCTATAGCCAAGCCCTTCGATACAACCGCATCTGCTCTAATCCCACTGACAGAGACCAGAAACTTCAGGATCTCTACCAAGTATTTATAAACCTCAGTTACCCACCTGGAGAAATAAAAAAACAAATTGAAAGAGCCAGCCGAATACCCAGAAACCATCTACATCAAGACAGACCCAAGAAAATCAACAATAGAACACCACTTATCACCTACAGCCCCCAACTTAAACCTGTCCAACACATTATCAATAAACTACAACCTATACTGGAACAGGATACTACACTCCGAGAGGCTCTGGGAGACAGACCCATAATCTCCTACAGACAATCACCTAACCTCAGGATGATTCTTACCAACAACCACAGGACATACCACACTAATATCAACACTGGAACTTTTCCTTGCAACAAACCCCTTTGCCAGCTTTGTCCACATATTTACATAAGAACATAAGAACGGCCGTACTGGGTCAGACCAAAGATCCATCTAGCCCAGTATCCTGTCTACCAACAGTGGCCAGCACCAGGTGCCCCAGAGAGGGTGGACCGAAGACAATGATCAAGCGATTTGTCTCCTGCCATCCCTCTCCAGCCTCTGACAAACAGAGGCCAAGGACACCATTTTATCCCCTGGCTAATAGCCTTTTATGGACCTAACCTCCATGAAATTATCTAGCTTCTCTTTAAACTCTATTATAGTCCTAGCCTTCCCAGCCTCCTCTGGCAAGGAGTTCCACAGGTTGACTACACACTGTGTGAAGAAGAACTTTTTTTTATTATTTTTAAACCTGCTACCTATTAATTTCATTTGGTGTCCTCTAGTTCTTCTATTTAGGGAACTAATAAATAACTTTTCTTTATCGGCCCTCTCCACACCACTCATGATTTTATATACCTCTATCATATCCCCCCTCAGTCTCCTCTTTTCTAAACTGAAAAGTCCCAGTCGCTTTAACCTCTCCTCATATGAGACCTGTTCCAAACCCCTAATCATTTTAGTTGCCCTTCCAAACCCCTAATCATTTTAGTTGCCCTGAATGATTTACTCTGCTGACACCATTATTGGAAAACCAGAACAACAGGACACTTGGTGACCAAAGTAGCACCGGTTCCTTATGGCTGCAATGCCAGTATCTGTCATCCCTAAACTGTGGGGGCAAAGTTTGTTTGGGGCAAAGGGGGAGAATACATGCCTATCATAAGAACTGCATTAGCAAGGATTGAAGGATCTTGGTTGCCAATCCTCCAAGGTCAGATTATTGAAATTTAAACTTTCTCCTGAGTAAGCAGATGAAGTCTGTTCAGACACATGGCATCCTAATGGCTGTGTTGAGGGTCTCCCTTCACGAGTCTAATCTAAAATAAAGATTCTGCTAAGTAGCTGGGACCAGGATGGAGTCTGCATCTTGTACATGGACCAAATGTCAATCCTCCTGTAAACAGAGACCCCTTACCCCCCCCCCCTTTTGTTCTGAAATTTGATTTGTCCTTTTTATATGTGTTCACTTTTTTTTTATTGTATCCCTTTGGTATATATGGTCATGCCTATTTTCTTCCACAACTTGATCTGAGGAAGTGGGTCTGGCCCGTGACAGCTCATCACCTAATAAACCATCTTGTTAGTCTTTAAAGTGCTACATAGTCCTGTTTTTTGTTTCAGCTAGACTAGAGTAACACGGCTACATCTCTATTACTATTTAACAAGCTGATAGGACTCTTACATAGTCCAGCCACTAGAGAAGGACAAAGACACTTTTGGCCTGCGTGTATAGCTTTGGAGATATATATAGGTGGTCTTAATTTGTATGATCTTCTGTGTTCTTCCTGCTAGGTTATAGAAGATCTTTTCAAGACAGCAACAAGCATTGTGCTTTCCAAATGTCCTCAAGAGGTCGAGCTTTTTCATAAATATGTATCTCCTGCCCAAAAGGTAATAAACATGAGAGAAAAACCTGCAGTCCTCCTATGTCTTCCAAGCACTCCTAAGAGCGTGTAGGCCTGAGTTTAACTGAGCTCTCTTTTATTAACCGTTAAGAGTAGGTTTACATTTTTTGTCTTTTGTTTCAACCAAGGGCAGGTTAGAACAGATGCTGAAGAACAAATTCAGAATGTAAGTATTGTTGTTTTTGATTGCTGACATATGACATGCTGCTGTTGCTTGAGCTCCTCCTTAGTTATTCACCCCCTTCCCCTTGTCATACCACTATCTTTGAATTCTTGCACAATGTCTTTATTTGCCCCAGGAATAGTTACCGGCTCCTTGACCCCTCTGCTGGTGTGCTGTATCATATCGCCTTCTCTTTGTTTTTTGCCTTCTTGACTGCAAACACTTTGGCATAGGAACTGATTCCCTGATGGTGTATGTCTGGGCAGTGCCTAACACACTCTGGGTGCTACTGCAAAATAAATAATTGTTCATAGGCTGTCTTCATGCCCCTTTAGACTGTGACAAGCTCCCCTTTCCTGGCAATCCCTGCTGTCCTGTATTAGATCTATAGCTATTGACTGACTATAGATAATCTGAGCCTCTCTGCTCCACTGTCTGTGAGCCCCTGACTTCTGGTGGGTGTCCATTCATTCTGCCAAACCATGCCACCCACCCAGGACTCTCCCAGGTGTTCCACTTAAGCTAGCCTGCCCCATCCATGCTTGATCACAGTGTGATGCATCACTTGCATAACTTGTGATACGTGTGTGTGTAAAAACAGCATATTCTTCACTGACTGTTTCAGAAAGCTTTAATGTTTTATTGAATCCTTACTTATGTTCTTTAGGGAGCTTGGTCTATAGCTGGGTTTAACCAGTGATACACAGCGGTTTGATTGTTACCAGGCTATTTTAGCTTTCCCAGTAATGGCTTGTTTATGTTGTTATAGCCTGGTATGTGGAAAATCCATCACGTAGCTTCCTTCATTTGGTTTTGTTTTCCAGTCACATTGTTGTGGGTTACAAAGGAGACACTGGGACAGATTCTCCGCTCTGTTATCCCGTTTGCTCTGTCAGTTGCTCTGTTGATTTACAGTGGTGGAGAATCTGGTGCCAGAATTGCCTTTTTGGGGACATGGACACATTGATGAAAATAAGTCTGGCATTTTACTGTGTCAATTGCAACTCTTCTAATAATGAAAGCTGTCTGTGGCATGATCTGTCTTGTAGAGTACTGTGCTGAGCACATGGTTAGTGCTAGGCTGATGGGAGTTCCTTTCATCCTGAAGAGCCCCCAAGTACCTATACGATGTCCAATGTTAATAGAATCACTTCATTCCCAGCTAATATTTGGCCACTTCTGAGGTAGAACATGATATCTAAACAAGCTAGATCTAGCTAGAGACATAAAGGGTAACAAGAAGACATTCTAGAAAAGTATTAGAAGCAAGAGGAAGACCAAGGACAGGGTGGTAGGCCCATTGCTCAGTGGGGAGGGAGAAACAATAACAGGAAACTTCGAAATGTTAGAAGAAATGACTTTGTTTCAGTTTTCATCAAGTAGTTTGATGGTGACAAGATGCCTAACATAACGAATGCTAGTGGAAATCGGGTAGGTTTAGAAGTTAAAATAGAAAAGAACATGTTAACAATTACTTAGAAAAGTTAGATGTCTTCAAGTCACATGGGCCTGATGAAACGCACCCTAGAATACTCAAGGAGCAGATAGAGGAAGTATCTGAGCCTTTAGCTAACATCGCTGAAAAATCATGGAAGTCGGGCGAGATTCCAGAAGACTGGAAAAGGGCAAATATAGTGCCCGTCTATAAAAAGGGAAATAAGAACAACCCAGGAAACTACATACCAGTTGTTTTAACTTCTGTGCCAGGGAAGATAATGGAGCAAGTAATTAAGGAATCCATCTGCAAACATCTGGAAGATAATAAGGTGATAGGTAACAGTCTAGGTACTTAACAGAGCTAACTGCTTTGCCTGAGAAATCTGAGTTCACAGCCAGTGTCCCCTATAACCTATGCACTTGCATGGCTGTTCAGGAGAGAGTCAAATGCTGCCCAGCTGATTAGCATAGCACCCACAGCTACAGTTTTTTTTTCTGCAAGTGGTGCACATTCACACATGCCGTGGTGCACATAAAATTTATTCTGCACATAGAAAATATATTGCATGTGGATGGAAAAGATTAGAGGGAACGTTGCTCACGGAGGTGGCATGGCTTCAGTTTTCCTTTAGATTTCTAATGCACTGCTTAGCGGGAGATTATCTTGGTCCTCTCATTTGCAATCTCTAATGCTTAGCTTTTTCTATTGCAGAATTTCCTATACTGAAGCAGTGGAAATTTTAAAGCAAGCACCACAGACATTCACTTACCAGCCAAAGGTAAGTGGCACCTTGGCTGTGGGAGAGCCACTGGCTTGTTCCTGTTTCTGTGGGCTGGGTCCAGACAATGCTTTCCATTTCTAAACCCCAGGGAGGCTTCACTTCTTTGTGATGTTGCAACAGAGTTGTTACTTCACCCATTACCTATCAGTCATGTTGTGTCATTGCATGCTCGCAAACCAGCCATATTCCAGTGCAGCTTGGAAGATGAAATGTGAATAATTTAGGAGGCAAGTTATTACAAGAGTGAAGTGTGTATAGTGACGCTAGGTAATGGCTGAAGGGAGAGGTGTGGCACTGTACCATTAGACTGTAAGCTCTTTGCAGGAGCTACCCCTGTATAGTGCATTGTGGGTATTTCAGGAACACGTAACAACAGTCTCACGGGCCAGTGGAATCATTCAGGTGGTACTAAGGGTTTAACTAAGAATTAAAAGGTGAAACTGATTCAAAGCACTGTATTGCCTAAATAAGTAAAGGGAGTCCATTGTTCTTCTAAAAGAATATTAAAGCAGTTTTCAAATTACTGTCTTCCTAGAACTATGCATGTACTTTCCTTAAATTTATACTTCATCCCTGCTTCTAACAGGTAGCACAACAGGCAAAGTCGTCATTTGAGCTCCTATTTATAATCCTGCATACATAGTCATTAGCACGGCTCGCCGAACCACGGCAAGCCCCGCTCACC